ATTACATCTTCTCAGAGAAACATAGACAGAGCTCCTACTATGTGGAAAGTATCACACTCAGGACTGCGATTTCAGAAGTGATGTTAAATATCAGCCCTGAGCCCAAGGGAACATTCTAACTACCTGACACCCACTGCCCAAACAACAAAGGGCACACTTCACCTATGGGATGGTCGCTGGAGCATATCCCACAGCACAGCAGTGGAAAGCTCAGATCTCTCAACACCGAATCAGTTCATGCTCTCTCCTGGTGTACCACACACTGTCTGCTCTCTCAGCTGTAGGCAGTTGCTGCAAGAGAAACAGGCAGACAGTCTGGAAAGCAATCTTCCAAGCCTGTGCCCTCTGGTGGCATAGTCAGACAATGGCACAGCATGTTTTCTGCTGCATCTGATTCAGCTGAGGTTTGCTAGCCAGTAGTAACTGCAGGGATCTATTGCTGACATATCAGAAGGGCACCCGTTCCCTGAAGAATCCCTTGTTCTGGAGTCCTGTGCATCTGTCATATCTTGCTACCTAGTATCTGTGTAATCAGGGGCAAGTTACTTAATATCACTGAACCTCAGTTCCTCATATCTATAGTGGAATAACAATCCCCACATCCTGTGGTTATTGGGAGTATCAAGTGATATTTAGAGGTGGTGTCTGGAAGCTCCTATGTAGTGCCTTGCACATAGCAGAAATTCAGCACCTGGAATTCTCTTCCCCTTCAACTACCAACTTGATTCTCTTTTTCCACCCCAAGTCTCCACAGTCCCTGTACTCCACCCCCACCTCCATTCCTGACTGCTCTTCAGTTCTGCTTTCTGAAAATGCATTCTCCTAAGATGAAATAGATTAATGGACTCCTAATTTGTAAAATTTTTCTTAAAAACACTACTTTCTGATTTGTGTAAAGCTGCTGGAGCTAGCACATTGACTACAGAATATCTAGAAAGTGTAACCATATCAATATATTCGATCAGATCTAAATTACATATCTCCTTCTTGGGATGAACAACATCATAATCCATTCCCACACTTATTTCTCAGACTTTTGTTTTAGAAATTACACAGTTCAAAGTTCAACCATTTTTGTAATATATAAACTTTTTTTTTACTACTTTTGACATGATATTTAATTATCTATCCTAGGCTGGGAGTTAGTGATGGGATCTGAGTCTAGTTACATGTTTGGAAACATTATTGCATGTGGAATAGTGGCATTAGGAAAACTGGCTTCATATTAAAATTTAGGTTTCACAAGCATGGAAATTCTGGCTATTTAAGCAAGAGAGAAACATCCTAATTGAACAAAGAGAAGAACTGTTCTGTCAGCAAGGGAAGCTCAGTGGGTAGTCTGGGCTTGAGGTGCCTTTAATTATCTCAATTTTCCTATTCCTAAGTTTTCACTTTTTATTTCAGTGACTAACTTTAACAAAAGTGACCAGTCAATGCTGGGAAATCAATTACTTATGAAATTTGGTAATTCACAGGATCAAGTTCTGAGTATACATTTGGCTAATTTAACCCTCTAGCTGCATTAGATAAGTAATTCTATCTGCATGTTGACTAGCTTCAGTATAGGCTTTGAGCATTTGAGCCAGAAATTTAGGGTTTTCATCATGGCATTCTTTTCCTTAAGCATTCTAATGCCATCACAAGCTTTCAGCTGATGGCACAAACTCTGAATTTCTTGAAACCTTCAGACTTCTCTCCATGGCAGCCATGCCTTCAAAGGCTCTATATTTCAGGGGATGACTTAATTAGTTGTTTTGTCATTTAATTTTATGAGCATTATTTCATTATTTCATTTCATATTCCCCCTCTAGAATACAAATTGGGTTTTCAACTCTCTTTACCCCTACTAGACCAGAGAATCATCTTCAAAGGTTCTTAATTTCTTTAAATTTTATTGTATAAAAGCAAATTCCTCATATCAATATCTGTATCAGTCAGAGATTATAGCTCTAAACAATGGTAACTGCCTTTGGATCACCTTAACAGAAAATGCATTTATTTTAGAACATAATTATATATAAAATTAACAGGAATGCCAGAGAATCTTGCTCACTTTGTATACAAGAAGCAGTGGGGACAAAGTTATAAATCTAACCTTGTTCATGGATATCTAATGGTTTATCTAAATGTCCATTGGAAGCAACACAATTGTAAAACAGGTAATAAAATGATGTAGGGAAGAAGTATGTGTACACCCATACAAGTGAGAACACAGTGTGAAGGATTTGTGCTCCATGAAATTTTGGTCAAAGAGCAACATCAGCAAAGTAAAGGTTTAACTATTAGGTGGATAAGATGATGCATTCTGTGGAAGTCAGTGGGCATCCCCCACCCCTAATACCCATCTTTGTTTAATGTGTTCATGAAAAGGTGTCCATGCCAGCTGGGATGGAGGTTATGCTTGTGTTCAGAAACATGTATCTTTACTTAATGTTGCTGATATCACTACAGCTACATTGGATATCAACACAATATGGCACCATTTATCAGGGGGTCTAGTGAGCTATGTGGTTTTAGATTGATTATTATGGACTGCTTCTATCATGGAAGGGAAATTGTGTTGATAAAACATTATTATCACAGGAATAAAAACAGACTCTAAATAGAGCTTCACTTTCCTTTCCTGAAATGCTTTTGCCAAAGCTGCCATCCAAGGGGTTATGAAACATCATATCTACCACCATAATATTCTACATAACATCCCTTCTGCCCATACAATTTTTTTCACACCAAAGTATAGCAATGGACTGACACTCATGAAATTCAAAGTTCTGAACATGTTTGCCATCACTGTGAAGCAGCTGGCCTAATTCAGAGTAGAATGGCCTTTGGTGGTTAGTGTCACTCAGTGGTTAGAGCATCGGCCCACACACCTAATGGGTTGTGGGTTTGATTTCCAGTCAAGGGCACATACCTGGGTTGTAGGTTCAATCCCTGGCCCAGTTGGAGAACATGCAGAAGGCAACCAATTGATGTGTCTCTCTCACATAGATGTTTCTTTCTTTATCTCTCTCTCTCTCTCTTCTCTCTCTCTCTCTCCTCTCTTTCTCTCTCTCTCTTGCCCTCCTTCCCATCCACTGTATAAAAATCAATGGAAAAAATACCCTTGGGTAAAGATTAACAACAATAACAAAAGAAACCAGCTAGATTACATCATCTATTAGAGGACAATGACCTCTGTCATGTGGTATGTGCTCTAAACCAGCATCCAAGATATGGTACTCTTTCTCTCATAGCTTAGATTCAAAGGATCAGGAATAAAGAAGTGAAAGTTTGTGTTTATACTCTCATGATTCCCCTACTAAAGCACTAGCGCAATTCTTGCTTCCTGTCCCAATGAACTAGGATCTCCTGCTTCAAATGGCTTAATTTTCAAATAAATGAATCCTTCCACTGTGGGAGTTAACAATGATTCCATTAAACTTGTACTTGAGATTACCACTTAGATACTTTGGGTTACTCATGCCACTGAACCCATATGAAAAGATGGGGGTTAGAATACTTACTGAGCTGGTAGATCCTATCGAGAGAAAATTTCATTGCTGCACAAAATGGGGGTTTGTAATGAAGGAGTTACCCAGGGATACATTATAGTATTCCCATATACTGTGAATAAAATCAATGGAAAACTATGGAAATCCATACAAACAGGACTGCTAATGATCCAGACCTTCCAGAAATGAAGAATTGAGTCACTCAAACAGGTAAGGAATCTCAATCAGTTAAGCGACTTGCTGGGAACAGTGAGTATATGGACTGGGTAGTGGTTGAAGATAGTGGAAAACACCAGTTATGACCACAAGACCAGTTGCAAACACAGGACTCTAATAGTCATCAGTATATCTTCTTTATTTTGATATCAATCTATCCTAGCTTATACTAACCAGTTTTTTACCTTTCTTTCCCTCAGTTCTTTTCTAGTTGCATAAGATGTATTAATTATGGTCACTTTTATTTCAGCGTATGCGTTACAGATGTCAAAGAGGACTCAGGACACATGAATGTCGCCCAAAATGGATAAAGGGATTTGTATCTCATTTTATGAAGAGGGTTAGCATGTTCTCAGTGTACATGGGATAGTTGCATTATGATAGGTGTAAGCAAGGCTTTGCTCTTTTCTTTAGTTGGAATTGTAAATGTGTGCCAAGTTGCCAAGGGCTGGACCGTGAAAGCTCTGTCCCATGTCAAATTGGCTAAGAAAAAATATATTTCCCATAATTCTTTGCATGCTTCTAATTAGAATGGGGCCCATAAAATTTTGGCTAAGATTTGCAAAGAAGGAATGAAACAGTGACCACGTTTCAGTCTTGAAAGGATGGTATAGGACAAGGACAAGTTGCCTGCCCCCACCCCGTGACCCCGAGCGCCCAGGGCTGCAACCCAGGTGAAGCCACCGGCCCAGAGTTCCCTGTGGCTGCAGCCAGTGGGTCGGGGGGAGGGGGGGGTGGAGCTGGCCCAGCTCCTGAGTGCCTGCAGCGAGCCAGAGGGAGGGAAGCATGGGTCCCAGGTGCCTGCAACTGGCTGGAGGAAGGAATCCTGGGTCCCAGGTGTTGGGTGAGGCAGAGGTGGTAGGGGCGATCAGGCCATCAGGAGAGCAGTTAGGGGAGATCAGGCAGGTAGGTGGAGGTGGTTAGGGGTGATCAGGCAAGCAGGCAGAGGGGTTGGGGTGGTCAGGCAGGGAGGCAGGTGAGCATTTAAAGGAGCAAAGTGGAAACTGTTCTACCCAGTCAGGAGTCATTTGAAGTCCACCTTAAGTCCTCCTTCCTTTCTTCAGAAACCCCACTCTCTATCATTCCTCCTGATTCTTTCAGCTACACATGCAAACAAAGATACTTTAATTATAGATTAACTTCACAGCAGCCTGTTCCACCAGCCAGGTTTTTTCCTCCTTATTTCCTGGGGTTAGGGCACCTCTTTTTCAGTCCCTGGCAATGTTTTGTTGTTATTTCCTGCTTTATTGAGGTATAATTAGCAAAAAAAAATTGTATATATTTAAAGTATACAAGATAATGATTTGATATAGGATAACACTGTGTAAAGGTCTACACGATTAAGTTAATAAATGTATCCATCACCTCACATAGCTCCTATTTTTGTTTTGTGGTGAAAACTTTATGATTTGCTCTCAGCAAACATCAAGCATACAATTGAATGTTAGTAACTGTAGTCATTCTGTCATTAGACCCCTAGAAATTATTCATCTTTAAACTCAAATTTTGTATCCTTTGATCACCATCTCACAATTCCCCCACTTCCCAGCACCTGGAAACCACCATTCTACCCTTTTTTTAATTAAATGTCTTTAGATTTCACATGTGAGTGAAACATACAGTATTTGGTGTTTTTTCCTGGCTTGTTTTATTGAGCATAATGCCCTCTGAATTTGTCCATGTTGATGGACACCTAGTTTGTTCCAATAATTTTTGGTTTCCAATTACATTTGACATACAATATTATACTAGTTTCAGGTGTACAACATAGAGCTTAGACATTTACGTACCTTACAAAGTAATCATCCCAATAAGTAATCATCTCATCTGACATCATACATAGTTATTAAAATACTAGAGGCCCAGTGCACGGATTCATGCACATTGAAAGGAAATTAGAAAGTGGCCCAGAGGGCAAGACTGGGTGATACAGGCTGGACACACCCTGGAGCCAACCTCCTGCAGTCTCTCCCTGGCCACCCGCACCTGGGGCAGTGCCAGGGCTCAGTGGGCATCTGTGAAGTGAATGGGGTCCCTCCATCAGGTTGGGTCCCTCAGCCTGGCTTGCAGGGATCAGGACAAACTGGCAGTCTGACATCCATCGAGGGGTCCAAGAGTGCGAGAAAGCACTCTTTAAAGTTGCTATCGCTTGGCAGCTACTGTGTTGAGCATCTGCCCTCTGGTGGTTAGTGTGCATCATACCTACCAGCCAGTCAGCTGGTTGCTTAGCTACATATATACAGTGGGGCCTTGACTTACGAGTTTAATTTGTTCCGTGACGGAGCTCGTAACTCAAATTACTCGTATGTCAAATCAATTTTCACCATTACAATGACACGTGACGCTGGGCTGATGTTGTGGCGTTCACTGTGA